TAGGGTTGTAGATCTTTCAAAGATATACAACAATTTATTTTTTATTTTATTTTTTTGGAATTTCGTGCATTTAAAAAAAAATCAAAACCATAAAAAACAAATTAAAAAAAGAAAAAAAAGACACACACACACACAAAATTGGGCCTGTAGTAGGTTGCATGAGTCTGGCGTCAATTGGTTGAGGGAACCCAGGTCCTGGGCCACCTGTGTGAATGTATGGAAAGCAGGCCCTGAGCTGGATACAGGTACTGGGCCAAACACAGGCCAAAGGCAGTTGGGGGCATGCAACCACCTCAGGCCCAAGGCCTGTTCTCATTCGTGCTGTGCCTCAGGCTACCGGGGCCTACTTGAAGCTTCCTGGGACTGAACACAGGCAGGCCACTTCGATATAGCAAAGGGCCTGCCTCCACATTGGGCATTCGGGTGCTGGCTGCATGCTGCGTAAGCGCTGCCGCGTTGTAGCTCGTGCCACTCACGCGCTCACGGGCGAGCAGGAAGGAGTAGGCAGCCATAGCCGAGTTGCGTTGTTGTAAGCTGGGTGTGGCGCAGGGTGGTCCTTGGGTGCAAGTGAAATCTGTGTGTTGGGGAACGAGGTTGTGAGTAAGGCGAGACACACTCTCACGCGCAGGCACAACACTTACACTTACACACACACACACATACTTACAAACACACACATACACACACACACTTACAAACACACACATACACACACACACTTACAAGCACACACATACACAGACACACACACACACACACTTACAAACACACACATACACAAACACACGCGCATACATTCTTATTCATGCACAGACACACTCTCACGACAGGCACACACATACACAGATACGTGCACACAGCACACCTACACACACATAACTGGGGCGTTGGGGGTTGGGGGATGTGGGGTCGGATGGGAGGTGCTTCAGAGGTTGGGGGGATTTTTTATTTTTATTTTTTTTTGCCTAGGGCCACGTGTTCCGGACCCCGCGCATCAATTCCGTTTTTCCGAAAAGCGCGGGAGCGGCCCATTTTCACGTTTAACGCGAATTCAACGGGATTTTTTAGAGTTTAACGGGATTCAACGGGAGTTACATTCCCCCGTTCTGCTTTAAAAAGATACACAGCTTGACCGCCTCGTCCCCGGAGTCTGCAACTTCCTTTCCACCGTCTGTCTTCGCTTTCTTCTTTTGTCGTTGGGAAGAGCGTGGTCGCTCGCGCTTTTCCTTCGCCGGCTTCGCCGACTGTGCGTCCAATGCCTTCTTATACGCCTCCTCCGAAGCTGCCAAACCTATCAACTTCGACTGTCTTCGCCTCTGCTCCTCATCACCGCTAGCTCTCGATTTTCTCTTTCGCGAGCATACTGATCTCTGTGTGTTGAGGACGTCCTCGTCTCCAGAGCGAAGCCTCTGACTGTCGGCGCATTTGTGAGACTCATTGACAGACACTCCGTGTTCATTGGCTTCGTACTCTTCCCCTTCGCTCCCCGCTTCGTAGCTGTCTTCGTCCTCCGCCCCCCGAACCCCAGTTCCCTCGTCGTCATCGTCATCTTTGAGCCCACGATGGTCGTCACCGTCTTCCTCCTCATCCCCACTGTCGTCGTCGCCCCCTCCGTCCTCGTCTTCCACCCCTTCCTCGCCGTCCCCGACTCCCTGTTCGTCACCGTCACCACCGTCGTAGTCAGTGAACTGATCGTCTTCGTCTTCGTCATGTCCTTCGTTCCCTTCAGCATTTCTCTCAAGCACAGGTTGCTCAGCTGATAACTCGTCCTCCGTCTTCTCAGGATCCTCGCCAACTTCGCTGCCACCATCATGACGTGAAGACGAAACTTCCGCCGGACCTTCCCATCGCTTCAGACCCGACGATAACCGTTTGGACACCGTATTCGTTAGCGAACGAGGCGCGAGATCAGACTTCTAGACAGGCTCAGACTTCTCTACGACCTTATTACGTTCGGTAGTTCCCACCGAGCTGATTTGTCGAGCACCCGGGTCCCCACCGCCATGCGGCGATCCAACAGAGATCGCACTGTGTAGAATAGCCTGGCCCAGCGCCTGCAATTTATAAGACCGAAGCTTCGATGCGAACTCGTCAAGTTGAATATCGAACGGTATGAGGGGTTCCGAGAGCGCCAATTTGCTGTCCACCGTGCACACATGGCTAGACACCTTGTGGCAGTTAATTCTCTTGAGAAAATCGAAAGGGCGGAGCATCACAACCTGCGATCAGTCTTTTTTCCGCGACTTATCAAAAGGAGGCATAGCAACGGCCCGCATGCCATACCCAACGAACTTTTGCAAATGCACTGACACCTGTTTGCAGTTGTCCGGTTCCTCGTTACCATCAGCGTCGAAGCAAGTGGTGAGGTGAAATCTCATGTACTCCTCAGCAACCTCCAGTTTATCAAAAGCGTAATTCTTCACTCCACCGTAGGGGTAGTAAGCCCCGCTGGAATCTCTCAAGAAAACGACCGGGCCGCAATAGGGGACTTTGATGCCCAGGTGCCAATCGAGCGCCCAATACTTATCATGGAATGTCGCAGCCCTGCCAATCACCTTTGGCGTCGACGCACCCGAGGAGGTCTCTTTCCCAGCTACACAGACACCACACCTGATACGGAAATGAGCACGCAGTTGAATATGCACGGTTTATGAGCCCTTCACACACACACACACACACACACACACACAGAAAGAGAGAGAGAGAGAGAGAGAGAGAGAGAGAGAGAGAGAGAGAGAGAGAGAGAGAGAGAGAGAGAGAGAGAGAGATGCACAGACAGACATACAAACAGACACACAGAGAGACACACACACTACAGAGAGAGAGAGAGAGAGACAGAACACAGACAGACATAAAGAGAGGCAGACACACAAACAAACAGGCGGCCCCTTCTATGGTCCGGCGTCGCCGCGACGCCGGACCACCGGCATGTGTGTGTGTGTGTGTGTGTGTGT